ATGTTTTATGTAGCTTTGTTCTTAAATGGATTGTGTAGGTTCCTTCATTGTATTGACACTTGAGGAAAAAATTAAGGGGATTTAAATGGTTGTTAAATATTTGGTGTAAATAGTAATAGCATGATGGGGGAGAATATTTTAAAAGGCACGTCAGAGAGGAGGGTATAGCTTAGTGGTAGAATTCAGGCTTAGCGTGCAAGAGGTCCTGGGCTCAGTCTCCAGTACTTCCATTAAAAAAAAAACGCATGTCAGATGAATGTCAGGTAGGTGTGGCGCAAGCTTGAGTATCATCTGGTTGCTATCAAAGGAGCAGAAATGTCAAACATTTTGCTTTTGTCCCCTTGGATTTCTATTCCATCTTTTCTCCCTCTCTCTAAGAGAGTGAATTTAAATAGAAATGCTTGCTTTAGCTAACTGGAAATTCAGGAAAATCTGAAATAAATATTGTGAGACTGGTATCCAGATGCAGAAAACAGAATTAACCATGACCCCCTGTCGAGGAACTGTAATTAAAAACAAAATTTCTTCCCAACCCAGACAAACTCTCCACAAAGGTAGAAGAGAAAGAAAGCAATTTTTTATTGAATAATCATTTAACCAGACTGCGATGTGCATCACAGGCAATCTGCTAAGAGATTAGAGGCAGGAAGACTTCACCCTTTCACATAGTCAAGCAGATACACACTATTGCATATGTAGTGCATACCTATATATATTGCATACGTATAAGATAAGCAGTAACTAGTTTTCAAGTAAGAGGACTTGACAGCACCATTTGTCACACATAGTTCATCCTAGATTCACCTGGTAATCGGGGTGATCATCTGTGTTAGCTAAGGAAAAAATAAATGTCTCATATCTTTATGACAAGCTTGGAGAAAGGTGCCCACTTAGTTAGGCTCCTACAGGCACAGAAACTGGGAGGCGGGGGCTCTCTCTCCCTTGATGTTTACATTCCAGAGATGATTCCCAGGTCCTTTGAGAAACTCATTCCAGGATCTTAAAGCTCCCAAGAGGCTTATTTAGCTTTTAAAGAGATTTGCATACATTTCAAAAAGACAGAGAAGGAAATGACAATTTTCCTAAGTAAATACTCTAAGTAAAGGGGAGAGGGGCGTGTATCTTCCCTTATTTTCAACAGAAGTAATTAAGTCTCTTATTTAATTTTTAAAGATGCTTATATTTGTTCTTAAAACCTCCTCCCTGTATTACTATAAAAAAACAACATTATGTATATATTATTAACTGAAATACAGTCAATTACAATGTGTCAATTTCTGGTGCACAGCACAATGTCCCAGTCATGCATGTACACATACATATATTCGTTTTCATATTCTTTTTCATTAAAGGTTATTACAAGATGTTGAACATAGTCCTCTGTGCTATACAGCAGTAACTTTTTAAAAATCTATTTTTATATATAGTGGCTAACATTTGTAAATCTCAAACTCCCAAATTTATCCCTTCCCACTCTCTTTCCCCGATATAATTTGTTAAGTATCTCCATTATTGTTTCTGCCTTACTCTGGGCAAACTGCAGTCTAGGTCTAAATATCCACCAAGTTCATAGTAAAATATTGTGGGCCATTATCTAGTGACAAAGTCTTATTACAAGGCACTCATTACAAGGTACAGAAACACCCAGTGTTTATTGTAGATGGTTCTAAGTGTTTTAAGTCTTGAGGACAAACCTACTCTATAGGCTATTTCTCTTTCCTGTGTTGGTTCTAAATTGATAATTACATGATTATAATAGTCAACTGTACCTCCAGGCATTCACCTTTGTTTACCTATCTGTACTGGGATTGGACAGAACTTGTCATCCCAAAGTTAATAGAGTAATATTAGACCTGAGTTTTGCAGTCACTGTCTGTAAGTTCCAGATTTCTGTTTTTCTCTTAATTAGATTTTTCCCTTTTCTATATTATCCTTCCAATAAAACTCATTAACAAAACATCTTTGCTTGAAGTTTGGGATTTGAGTACCTGGTGCACATTAATTACTTATACTTTGTTAGTATCAAAAATTGCTGATGAAAATGGTCCTACTTTTACTCTGTCAATAACAGTTAGATTGTTGGACTTATAAATCCAGATCCTGTTTATATGGAGAGTACAATTTAGAGCAGATTGGAGATGAGATTGTGAGGAACCATTACTGGGAGTACAGAAGGAAAGAAATGCAACAAATAGGATGTTTGTTTTATATTAAATGTGATTCTTAGAGTAAGTGAAATTACCCTACATAGTAGATGTGTTACCTTGAGGAAGCTATTAATCTTTATGAATCCAGGTTTATTACCTGTAATATGGGAATCATAATGCCTGTATCATAAGATTATAATAATGATGAATTGAGGTAACACATGAAAGTACCAAGAACAGATTCTGGCACAAAATGAATGATGACTAAAGAGATTATCAGGACAGGGCTAACTCCTCCATCTATGGTTTTGAACCTTCCCATCAAGTCCAGGACTATACTCCATCATTTTTCCCTCCTTCTGCTCATACCAACATGTTTTCTGGTAGTATCTTTCCTTCAGTCTTCAAATATATTTACATCTCCATTGTCACAAAACAAATATATATGTAAATGCACATTGCAACTTAATCTGACCTATTTAAAAATTCACATTAGTGAAATACTATACATGCACAATCAAATGCACTCATTTTAAGCACAGCTTAGTTTTTGTGACAAACATATATGCCTATGGGCGTATATGGTATAATCACCACCACATCCAAGATTTCCATCACCACAAATATCCCTCATACCCATCTGCAGTCAATCCTCAGCTCCGTTTTTGCCATAGGCAATACCAAATATCTACTTTCTTTCTCTAGATTAATCTTGCCTTTTTAAGATTTTCATGTAAATGGAATCACATAATATTTTCCACTGTTTTGTGTCTTCCATCCTTTTCTTGGTAGAATATTTTTGAGATTCATCCATGCAGTTGTGTGTATAGTTAGTATACTCCTTTCTTTTTTTTTTAAACTACTATTCCATTATATTGTTATATCATAATTTGCTTATCCATTGAATTGTTACTGTATATTTGGGTTATTTCCAGGTTGAGCTATATGAACAAAGCTGCTATAAATATTCTTATGCAAGTGTCTGTGTAGATGTATATTTTTGTTTCTTTTGAGTAAATATTTAGGAATAGAATTGCTGAAGCGTAAGATGACATACATTTAACTTCATAGGAACAATCAAAATGTTTCTCAGAGTTGTAGCATGAAGTGCCCCCATCGTGTATGAGTTTTAGTTTCCTCAACAACACTTGGTAACGTCAGTCCTTTTTACTCATTCTTATTACTATGTATTAAAAAACACATGGTGGCTTTAATTTGTATTGCTTTTTCAGTGTTTCTGAGACTTGGAACTTTCTGCTTTATTTTTTCTGGGGAATAAATCATTCATCGCTTGCCTGGTTGGAGAGTGATAGTAGTTGTCTGTGTGGGATGAGAGAGGGGAGCTGGGTAACCTAACTTCTATGTAGACTTCTAACTGAGGATACCCACATTTATCCTCCTCACCCTGTGGGTTCTGTGGCTCAAAATCTGAGCCTTTCAAGGAGAGTTTCTGTAGCCCAGACAGCTTGCTTCATCTGGTCATCCTCCTCGACGGGCACTTACATCTCAGCTTTCTCTATGCTACATCAGTTACCCCTCATCAATCTGCCTTCTGTTGTCCAAAATTTTGTTGACACCTCTCAATTACAGCTCTCTTCTCTCTAGTTCTCTTTGTGCATTGATTCATTTAAAACTTTTCTTTAGAGGAAACAGAGAACAGCAAGTTCAGTTCTGCACATTGACAGTCACTTTCCTTTACTTTTCACCTTACTTTCTCATTTGTTTCTTCACTATTCCACACAAAAGTTATCGATGACAAAGCTAATAATCTCTTTAAGTTTAATTTTAGTTGATTTAAGTGTCTCAACTGAACCTCCTTTCCTTCACCCAGACTCCTTTTGTCCTTGATGTCCATGCTCCAGTTCTGTAGGTTTCCTCAAATTTCTTTTTCTTTCCATTTTTTCTCTCGGGCTCCCCTTTCTCTAACGACCCTTAAATGGGGAGATGTCAGCATAGTTTGATTTCCAGTGGCTCTGTGATACGAGTTATTTCAGTAAAACTCCATGAAGATTTGGCATTGCTACTCTTCAACAGCAGCCTAATTCTCTAAGGGGAGAGAGTTATTACTCTATACGTGTTGCTGCCTGAGCTCTGCGAGATAAAATGTAGAGAGAAGCGTTGTGATAATTCTAAGTTTCTCTGGTTTCTTGGATTCCAAGAAACTGTCTCTTATATATAATGTGTTGACAATAACAAAATTGACCATTTCAAGCAAGCTCTAAACCTGGGGATAAAAACAAAAGGAAAAATAGTGTCTTTTTTTTTTTTTCATTTCCTTTTAGAAAAGCACAATTTTAAAACACCTCTCAGCTGGAAAAAGAAGATCCAGGTCATGCCAGTCTCACAAAATTCCACTCAGTTTTGCTGCGAACCTGAAACTTCTCAAAGTTAAAACTTATTAAAAAAACAAATAAATAGAAAAATCTCAGAAGAATGGTACTATAACCAGAAAATATGCTTTAGGGAATAATGAAGCAATTAGACTACCAGTCAATTTTCAAAATACCTAGTGTGTCATTAAAAAACTTGATGATTGTGTTGTCTTAAAAGGTATTTTCTGAATTCTTTCTTTCTTTGCAAATTGAGAGAATTTCAGGGGCATAAGACAAATCTAAAATAATCTGAAAATACCAGTTTTGAATCTGGATTGCTTAGCAGTATGTTTGTATGGTTTGGTCATTTCTGAGAAATTATTATTATTTTCTTTTTTAGTTTTTAGTCCCTAGTCTTTTATTCATTGGTGCACTATTAAGACATTGACTACAAAGATGGCAGTTAATTTGTAGTTATGGTCAGCTTTTCTGACTGACACTAAGTGTAAAATGTACTGTATGTTCCTATTTCTTACCATAGATGTCAGGTGACCAAGTCATACCAAGCTCTCCTGTATTTTAAGAAGAACAAATTGTTCTACGGAAAATGAAGGGAGCCCAGAACGCTCAAGAGCTTGGAGACGGTGTATGACAACTTTCACCTTGAGGTAACTGGTCTCAATCATAGGTGGTGGTGGTTATTAGAAACTCAATGATAGTCTCTGACCTATGCTTTTTCCAAAAGTGGGGTAAAAAGTGTACTATGATTATTTTAATAATAATGTGCTAGTATTTAG